CCTTCCCTTCCCAAACCTTCCTTTCCTTCCCAAACCTTCCCTTCCCTTCCCAAACCTTCCCCTTCCCAAACCTTCCTTCCTTCCCAAACCTTCCTCCTTCCCAAACCTTCCCTAACCTTCCCTTCCTTCCTTCCTTCCCTAAACCTTCCTTCCCTTCCTTCCTTCCAAACCTTCCCTTCCCAAACCTTCCCTTCCCAAACCTTCCCTTCCCAAACCTTCCCAAACCTTCCCTTCCCTTCCTTTCCCTTCCCAAACCTTCCCTTCCCAAACCTTTCCTTTCCTTCCCACCTTCCCAAACCTTCCCTTCCTTTCCCTTCCCCCTGGGAATACCGGGAGCTTCCTCTCCTCCCTCCCTGGAAGCGGGGCCGTGTTTCCAGCGCCTCCCTGCAGGCAGATCCCTGGATTTTGGCGCTGCCAGGAGCTCATTTCCATGCGGGAGATGATTTCTTCCCTCCCTCCCTGCCCAAAACCCCTGCCCGGGCCGCTCCTCGTGTGCCGTGGAGGGGAAAATTGAGGTGGCCGCGGGCCAGGGATGAGGCACGGCCGGAGCTGGAGGAGGGGAAGGTGGGGATGGATTTGGCTCTCCCATCGTGGGGATCGATCCGAGAGGTGGCCCCGCTGCTCCCCCCTCCTCGGAACCCTCGGGAGGGAGAGGGAGCCGGGAGGGGAGCCGGGATTAATTGGTTAATTTACATTCGCGGCGTGAATTCATCCTTTGCCACCCCGGAGGAGCCGCTGCCTCCTCCTCCTCCTCCCCGTCCCGCAGTTGGTGCTGGTGTTGGAGTGACCGCCCTCCTTTCCTGCCCCAAAAATTTAGGGAATCGCCGGATCCCGGCGTGGTTTGGGTCGGAAGGGACCTCAAAGCTCGTCCAGGGGCACCTCCCGCTGTCCCGGGTTGCTCTTGCAGGGCTGGGGAGGGAAGAGGAGGAGCCCTCTCGGCAGGAGGGGCAACAAAGAGAACACGTGGAAAACCAAAAACAGGTTGTAAAGGATTTTTTTCCCTGCTGCTTTTTAACCACCACTGGCATTATTTTTGGGGCGGTTTTGATGGTTTTTTTATTAAAAATCTGCGTTTTAAAGCACAACCCTCGGGTGATGGAAAACCCTCAGGTGGAGCCACCCGAAGGGCTGAGCGTGCCTGTTCCTGTCCCAGAATCCCAAAAATCAGCCAGGCCAGGGATCCATCAGCCCTCTCAGCCCCCCTGGGCACCCTCTGGCTCCTGTTGAGCTTCCTGGCCATCCCAACTCCCAGCTCCCTTCCCGCCTGGCTGCTCTCCAGCCCCTCTGGAGCTGCCAAAGGGCAGGACCCGCCCTTGGCCTTGGGGAACCTCATCCCGTTGGGATCAGCCCGTGGATCCAGCCTGGCCAGGTCCCTCTGCAGAGCCCTCCTGCCTTCCAGCACATCAACAACTCCCCCAGCGTGGTGTGCCCTGCAGATGTGCTGATGGTGGATCCATCCCCTCCTATGGATCATCCACAGGGACATCAAACAGGGCTGGGCCCGGCCCTGATCCCTGGGGACACCACTGGAATATCTGGAGCTCAGAATAGCTGGGAGCAGCCCTGGAATATTTGGAGCTCAGGACACTCAGGAGATCAGCCCTGGAATATTTGGAGTTCAGGACACTTAGGAGCAGATCATGGAATATTTGGAGCTCAGAACACTCAGGAGATCAGCCCTGGAATATTTGGAGCTCAGGTCAGGGATAGCCCTGGAATATTTGGAGCTCAGAAGAGCTGGGAGCAGTCCTGGAATATTTGGAGCTCAGAACATTCAGGACCAGATCAGCCCTGGAATATTTGGAGCTCAGGACAGTCGGGAGATCAGCCTTGGAATATTTAGAGTTCAGAAGAGTTGGAAGCAGCCCTGGAATATTTGGAGCTCAGAACATTCAGGACCAGATCAGCCCTGGAATATTTGGAGCTCAGAAGAGTCAGCAGATCAGCCCTGGAATATTTGGAGCTCAGGACACTCAGGAGCAGAGCAGTCCTGGAATATTTGGAGCTCAGAAGATCTGGGAGCAGCCCTGGAATATTTGGAGTTCACTCAGGAGATCAGCCCTGGAATATTTGGAGTTCATGACACTCAGGAGATCAGCCCTGGAATATTTGGAGCTCAAAGAATTGGGAGCAGCCCTGGAATATTTGGAGTTCACTCAGGAACAGATCCGCTCTGGAATATTTGGAGCTCAGAAGAGCTGGGAGCAGCCCTGGAACATTTGGAGCTCAGGACACTTGGGAGCAGCCCTGGAATATTTGGAGCTCAGAAGAGTCAGAAGCATCCCTGGAATATTTGGGAGCTCAGAACACTTGGGAGCAGCCCTGGAATATTTGGAGTTCAGGGAGCTGGGAGCAGCCCTGGAATATTTGGAGCTCAGAACACTCAGGAGCAGATCAGCTCTGGAATATTTGGAGCTCAGGACACTCAGGAACATCCCTGGAATATTTGGAGCTCAGGACACTCAGGACCAGATCAGCCCTGGAATATTTGGAGCTCAGGACAGTCGGGAGATCAGCCTTGGAATATTTAGAGTTCAGAGGAGTTGGAAGTAGCCCTGGAATATTTGGAGCTCAGGACACTCAGGACCAGATCAGCCCTGGAATATTTGGAGCTCAGAAGAGTCAGGAGATCAGCCCTGGAATATTTGGAGCTCAGAAGAGTTGGGGGCAGATCAGCCCTGGAATATTTGGAGCTCAGAACATTTGGGAGATCAGCCCTGGAATATTTGGAGTTCAGAACACTCAGGAGATCAGCCCTGGAATATTTGGAGCTCAGAACACTCAGGAACATCCCTGGAATATTTGGAGCTCAGAACACTCAGGACCAGATCAGCCCTGGAATATTTGGAGCTCAGGACAGTCGGGAGATCAGCCTTGGAATATTTAGAGTTCAGAAGAGTTGGAAGCAGCCCTGGAATATTTGGGAGCTCAGAACACTTGGGAGCAGCCCTGGAATATTTGGAGCTCAGAAGAGTTGGGGGCAGGATCAGCCCTGGAATATTTGGAGCTCAGGACACTCAGGAACAGATCAACCCTGGAACATTTGGAGCTCAGGACACTCAGGAGCAGATCATGGAATATTTGGAGCTCAGGACACTCAGGAACATCCCTGGAATATTTGGAGCTCAGGACAGTCAGGAGCAGATCATGGAATATTGGGTTCAGACCTCAGGAACATCCCTGGAATATTTGGAGCTCAGAACATTCAGGACCAGATCAACCCTGGAATATTTGGAGCTCAAAACAGTTGGGAGCAGCCCTGGAATATTTGGAGCTCAGAACATTTGGGAGATCAGCCCTGGAATGTTTGGAGTTCACTCAGGAACAGATCAGCCCTGGAATCACTCAGGAACATCCCTGGAATATTTGGAGTTCAGGACACTCAGGAGATCAGCCCTGAAATATTTGGAGCTCAGAACAGTTGGGAGATCAGCCCTGGAATATTTGGAGCGTTCACTCAGGAGATCAGATGGAGCTCTGGAATCACTCAGGAACATCCCTGGAATATTTGGAGCTCAGAACATTCAGGAACAGATCATCCCTGGAATATTTGGAGCTCAGAACATTCAGGACCAGATCAACCCTGGAATATTTGGAGTTCAGGACACTCAGGAGTGGATCAGCCCTGGAATATTTGGAGCTCAGAACACTCAGGAGTGGATCAGCCCTGGAATATTTGGAGCTCAGGACAGTCGGGAGATCAGCCCTGGAATATTTGGAGTTCAGAAGAGTTGGAAGCAGCCCTGGAATATTTGGGAGCTCAGAACACTTGGGAGCAGCCCTGGAATATTTGGAGCTCAGAAGAGTCAGGAGCAGCCCTGGAATATTTTGGAGCTCAGGACAGTCAGGAGCAGATCATGGAATATTTGGAGCTCAGAACACCCAGGAGCAGATCAGCTCTGGAATATTTGGAGCTCAGAACACTCAGGAACATCCCTGGAATATTTGGAGCTCAGAAGAGCTGGGAGCAGATCATGGAATATTTGGAGCTCAGAAGAGCCAGGAACATCCCTGAAATATTTGGAGCTCCGAAGAGTTGGGGGCAGATCAGCCCTTCCCTCTGCCCCCTGCTTAAGCCAGGCTTAATATCCTTAATTAATTAGGTGTAAATATTCCAATGAAAATCCAGGCCAATCAGGAGGGGGAATTTTGGGGTCCCCTCTGGGCCAGCCCATTGAGGTGAGGGACGATCCCAAAAGGCATTCCCAATTTTACCCCACAATCCTACTGGTTTACCCCAAAATCCTCCTGCTTTACCCCAAAATCCCACTTTCACCCCAATCCTGCTGTTTTACCCCAAAATCCCAGTTTCATCCCAAATCCTGCTGCTTTATCCCAAAATTCTGCTGGTTTACCCCAAAATCCCAGTTTCATCCCAAATCTTGCTGGTTTACTGTAAAATGTGATTTTTACCCCCAAATCCTGCTGCTTTACCCCAAAATCCTCCTGGTTTTCCCCAAAATCCCACTTTCATCCCAAATCTTGCTTGCTTTACCCTAAAATCGTCATTTTTACCCCAAAATCCACCTGGTTTTCCCCAAAATCCCACTTTCATCCCAAATCCTGCTGCTTTACCCCCAAATCCTACTGTTTTATCCACCAAATCCCATTGTTTTACCCCCCAAATCCCACTGTTTTACCCCCAAACCCTGCTGCAAATCCCTGGAAGCGGCTCCGGGCAGAGCGGGATGAGGGGTCAGGATCCCTCTGGAAGTGGCTCTGGGAAGAGCGGGATGAGGGATCAGGATCCCCCTGGAATCAGCTCCAGGAGGGCCGGGAACGATCCCGCAGCTGCTGCCGGGGGGGTTGTTTTTTGTCGGATCCCGCATCCCGCTCTTCCCCCTCTCCCTCTCCCGACAAAGGAGCAGCTCTTCCCACCGGGAAAATCACCCCAATTAACACCATAATTAACCCTCATTCCCGCCTGGAATCCCTCCGGCAATCCCGCGGGATTCCGAGGGGTGTTGATGACGTCATCATCGTTCCCTCTGTTTTCCCAGGGGTCGGCACCAGGAATTACTACCGGAAGCTCGGCTACGAGCTGGAAGGGCCCTACATGGTGAAAAGCTTGGAATGACGAGCCAGGAGGAGCCGGGAAGAGCGGGAGGCGCCGCCTGTCTCGACGCCCATCCCGGGAATGAAGCCCCGAACTCCAAAGCTGCTCCCACAAAAAGGATGGAATTGGACTCGGCGATCCCGGTGGGTCGCTCCCGACTCCGGATATTCCCGGATTCCCATGGAATGGGGCGGGGCAGCCCTGAGAAAGGGTTGTTTTCCCCCCCCCCCCACTGGAAAGGTCGGGAATGTTCCAGGTGTCTCCAGCATTCCAGGTGTCTGGAACATTCCAGGTGTCTCCAGGATGGGCTCCCAGGCTTTGGGAATATCTGGGAATTCTCCCAGTGGGAAAAAACACCCTCCCACTTCCTTTGGGATGCTGTCAGGGGGATTTTCCTGGCATTAAAATCCTGGGGGAAGGAGTTTTCCTGCAATCCCAATAAAATTCCCTCCCTTGGCTTGGTTGTTTTTTTTTTTCCCTCTTTCTTGTCCATCCCAAAAACATTCCCGAGTTTCATCCCTTTCCCAGGAGGCCACGAGGAGTGGCTGGGTAGGAATTTGGGATTAAATTTAAGATGAAGAGATTCCTGGAATAACTGAGGCTGGAAGGGACTGGGAGCTCTCTCCAGTCGGATCAGGATGGGAATGCTGGAATGTCTCCAGGGTATCCATCCCCTCATCCCAGCGGGATTTCTGCCCCTGGGGGATCTTTCCTGCCTTTTCCCACCTCTCTCCCCTCTTCATCCACCCAGGGTGGGGGGGGAGTCCTTTGACATCCGGGATTTCCCGGATTTTGGCCCACGGGGCCTTTCCCAGTCAGGAAGTTTTGGGATCTCCGAGCTTCTCCACCTCTTTTTTCCCGGCATTCCGATGGCAAACGGGGCTGGAATCCAAGCATGGCTCGTGGACACCGCGGCATTTCCATGGGAAGGGCTCTCCTGGCAGCTCCCTGTCCCTGCTGGAGAGAGGAAAATAATGGGAATAAAGTTATTATGGAATATTGGGGATGGGGAGGGAAAAGCAGAGCCCAGCTGGTGATTCCCAACCCGAAAGGTTGGATTTAAACCAGGAGGAATTCCAGAGGAAAGGCTCTCCTGGCAGCTCCCTGTCCCTGCTGGAGAGGGCAAAATAATGGGCTTTTTCCAAGGAATCCTTGAAGGAGGGGATGTTCCTGATGGGAAGCTCCTGATGGGAAGTTCCCCTCTCTCTCTCTCTCCATCCCAAACCCTGGAAGTGCTTTAATTAAAACCAATCCATCAATTCACCTGATTGGAATCCTGTGTTTCAGATCCACACTTACTGCTTTTATTATTATTAACATTAATTTATTAATAATTTTAATTTATTAATAATTTTATTTATTATTATTAATGTATGAATAATTTTATTGGTCTCAATTCTATTAATGAATCCCATTATTTATTCTATTATTATTAATTTATTAATAATTTTATTGTTCTCCATTCTATTAATGAATCCCATCATTTATTCTCTTATTATTTTTATTATATTATTAATTTATTATTGATTTATATCCCCCCCCTTCAGCTTTTCTTTGCTTACCTTAAAAGAGGCCGAAAATTCCTTCGCCCCACGGAATTCCAACCGAAATTCCCACCCAAAAGTCGGTGGAATTCTGGTTCCTCACAGGGATCTGCAGCCTCACCTTGGGATTCCCCCTCTCCGAGAGGGAAGGAGCTCCTTGCCCTGGAAAATGGAAATTCCTGGACAATTCAGGGAACAAAACAGCTGGAAATCAGTGGGAAAAATCCCTTCTTAAGGGAAACTCTGGAAAAGGGAGAGGAGGAAGTGGGAGAGGAAAATGCTTGGTGGAGGTGACTGGAAAGAGTTAAATTCCAAACTTACCGGTTCAAACAATTCCCAAATTCCCACTGGAAAGGGGATCCAAATCATTCCCAGGAGTCCTTGGAAACGGCTCAGCGGCTTCCCAAAAAACCCAGCTTTGCAGCAGGCAAAGGAGTGAATGTTCTGGAAGCAGCGGGGTGGGAAAGGCTGGCCCAGAAAATTCCTGACCTCGGGAATTTGCTCCCTTGTTCATCTTTGAGGCTGGAAAACCAAAGGATTTCTCTTGGAAAAGGAATAAAGAGCAGGAATTCCAGCTGAGCCCGCTTGGGAGGTGGAAAAAAATTAAAGAGGGTGGGGGGAAAAGGCAAGAGCTTCTCCAAGCTCATCCCTAAAAATCCCTGGAAAGGATGGAAAATCCTATTCCCACTTTATGAGTTGGCTCCTTTTTGGTCCCAGTTTATCCCTTTTTTTTTGGACAGCATTCCTTAGGGTATGGAAGGCCTGGCAGCAGAGGAGCAGGAAGGGAATTTTTCCTGAATTTTTACACCCTCCCAGGGGGATTTGGTTGGAATGATTTTCCAGCTAAAAGGCTGATTTGGGAATGTCAAGACCATTCCCTGGGAAGCAGCCAAATCAGGAGCAAGGAATGCTGAGGGTCCTTGGAAAATCCAAGCTCCCTAAAAAACCAAAAACAACCCAAAAAAACCACCCCAATTTTGGGATTTTTTTTGGGGTGGAGAATTCCCAGGAAAAGCCACATCCAAGGCCCACCTTCCCTGAGCTTCCCACATTCCCTGAGGCAGAAAGATTGGGAAGCTCTGCTTGGAGCACCAGGGAAGAGGATTCCTAAAAAATTAAGGGAATGAGGGAATTTTGTTTCATTTGTGCCTGGCTGGGTCACTTTTAGTGGGATATGTGGCAGATTCCCATGGAAAAGCTTCCAAGCAGCATCAGTTTTAGTGGGATACAATGTGGTTTTCCAAGGAAAAGCTTCCAAGCAGGATCAGTTTTAGTGGGATACAATGTGGTTTTCCAAGGAAACAGCTTCCAAGCAGGATCAGTTTTAGTGGGATACAATGTGGTTTTCCAAGGAAAAGCTTCCAAGCAGGATCAGTTTTAGTGGGATACAATGTGGTTTTCCAAGGAAAAGCTTCCAAGCAGGATCAGTTTTAGTGGGATATGTGGCAGCTTCCCACGGAAAAGCCTCCAAGTAGGATCAGTTTTAGTGGGATACAATGTGGTTTTCCAAGGAAAAGCTTCCAAGCAGCATCAGTTTTAGTGGGATACAATGTGGTTTCCCAAGGAAAAGCTTCCAAGCAGGATTGGTTTTAGTGGGATACAATGTGGTTTTCCAAGGAAAAGCTTCCAAGGAGGATCAACTTTAGTGGGATATGACGCAGCTTCCCAAGGAAAAGCTTCCAAGCAGGATCAGTTTTAGTGGGATACAATGTGGTTTTCCAAGGAAAATCCTCCAAGCAGCATCAATTTTAGTGGGATACAAAGTGGTTTCCCACGGAAACACTTCCAAGCAGGATCAGTTTTAGTGGGATACAGTGTGGTTTTCCAAGGAAACAGCTTCCAAGCAGGATCAGTTTTAGTGGGATACAATGTGGTTTCTCAAGGAAAAGCTTCCAAGCAGCATCAGTTTTAGTGGGATATGTGGCAGCTTCCCAAGGAAAAGCTTCCAAGTAGGATTGGTTTTAGTGGGATAGGATGCAGCTTCCCAAGGAAAAGCTTCCAAGCAGGATCAATTTTAGTGGGATACAATGAGGTTTTCCAAGGAAACGCTTCCAAGCAGGATCAGTTTTAGCGGGATAAGTGGCAGATTCCCATGGAAAAGCTTCCAAGCAGCATCAGTTTTAGCGGGATTTTCAGCGGGATCGGGTGCAGCCCCCGCAGCGCCGGCGTTCCGGGGCGATTCCATATCCATGGAAACCCGGAGCCATCGCCCGCCACGATCGCGGCGGCCCAGCGGGATCCCGAGCCCCGGGAAGCTCCGGCTCCATCGATCCGGAGCCGGCTAAGGAAGGGAAGGAGCTTTGGAGCCACGTTCCCTGCCCGGGGGGTGGAGGGAAGGAAGGGAAGGAAAGGAAAAGCAGCTTCTCCCCCCGGGAAGCTTCGAGCGGGATCGACTCGGGAGATCGATCGAGTTCCCCGCAGGAGCCGCTCAATCCTCCATCCCTCCTTCTCTTTAGAAGGAAGTTTCCCTCCTCCCTGTGCCAGTGGCTCAGCAGCATCCCAAGTTTATCCCCCCCAAACGCAGCGTTTTCCCCTTTCCCAACCCCTGAACCCTCCCCCTACCCCGTCCCGCTGCTCCATTCAAAGCCATTCCCTCCCCAAATTCCACGGTCCAGCTCCATCCCCCCTTTCCCAAATCTTTCCTCTTTCCTCCCGACCCTGTTCCCAACTTTCCAACCCTCAGCTCCCCATTCCAAACCTCCTCTTGCTCCCAAACCCCCTTCCCTCAAGAGACAACGGCCCCTTCTCCACCTGAATCCCTCCCTTCCCCATCCCAGCCCCAGCTATTCCCAGTATCCCATCTCAATCCCCTTCCCTTCCCCATCCCAGCTATTCCCATTATCCCACCTCAATCCCCTTCCCTTCCCCTCCCCAGCTATTCCCATTATCCCACCTCAATCCCCTTCCCTTCCCCTCCCCAGCTATTCCCATTATCCCACCTCAATCCCCTTCCCTTCCCCTCCCCAGCTATTCCCATTATCCCACCTCAATCCCTCCCTTCCCCATCCCAGTCACAGCTATTCCCAGTATCCCACCTCAATCCCCTTCCCTTCCCCATCCCAGCTATTCCCATTATCCCACCTCAATCCCCTTCCCTTCCCCTCCCCAGCTATTCCCATTATCCCACCTCAATCCCTTCCCTTCCCCATCCCAGCTATTCCCATTATCTCACCTCAATCCCCTTCCCTTCCCCACCCCAGGACCCTTTTCCACCTCAGATCCTTCCCCTTTTTCCTTCCCCACCTCAGTCCCTTTCCCACCTGGAGCAGCCCCTCAGCCCCAGCTCCTCCCTCCATCTCAGGTGAGACCCCCTTGGCCACCTCAGCCCCCTTTTCCCACCCCCACCACCATTCCCTGAGTCCCACCCTTTCCCTGCTCCTTCCCTTCCCCACCTCAGCCCCATTCTCCACACCCCCAGCCCCCTTCCTCCATCTCCCCCCCTTCTCCACCCTCACGCTCCCAACTCCATCCCGACCTCCACAAGCCCCTTTCCCCCAGCCCTGCAGCCCCAGCCCTGCCATTCCCCAGCCCCGTCACCCTCAGCCGGGTCTCTGTCCCCCCGTCACCCTCAGCCGGTCCCTCAGCCGGGTCTCTGTCCCCCGTCACCCTCAGCCCGGTCTCTGTCCCCCCGTTCCCCTCAGCCGGGTCTCTGTTCCCCGTTCCCCTCAGCCGGGTCTCTGTCCCCTCGTTACCCTCAGTCCGATCTCTGTCCCCCGTTCCCCTCAGCCGGGTCTCTGTTCCCCGTTCCCTCAGCCGGGTCTCTGTCCCCCGTTCCCCTCAGCCGGGTCTCTGTCCCCCTGTCACCCTCAGTCGCTCCCTCAGCCGGGTCTCTGTTCCCCCCTCACCCTCAGCAGGTCCCTCGGCCCGGTCTCTGTCCCCCCGTTACCCTCAGGTGGGTCTCTGTCCCCCCGTTACCCTCAGGTGGGTCTCTGTCCCCCCGTTCCCCTCAGCCGGGTCTCTGTTTCCCCGTTCCCCTCAGCCGGGTCTCTGTCCCCCCGTTCCCCTCAGCCGGGTCTCTGTTCCTCTCTCACCCTCAGCCGGGTCTCTGTTCCTCTCTCACCCTCAGCCGGGTCTCTGTTCCCCCGTCACCCTCAGCCGGGTCTCTGTTCCCCCCTCAGCCGGGTCTCTGTTCCCCCCTCAGCCGCTCCCTCAGCCCGGTCTCTGTTCCCCCTCAGCCGGGTCTCTGTTCCCCCCTCAGCCGGGTCTCTGTCCCCCCGTCACCCTCAGCTGGGTCTCTGTCCCCCCGTTCCCCTCAGCCGGGTCTCTGTTCCCCCCTCAGCCCGGTCTCCGTCCTCCCGTTCCCCTCAGCCGGGTCTCTGTTCCCCCCTCAGCCGGGTCTCTGTTCCCCCCTCAGCCGCTCCCTCAGCCCGGTCTCTGTTCCCCCCTCAGCCGGGTCTCTGTTCCCCCCTCAGCCGGGTCTCTGTTCCCCCCTCAGCCGGGTCTCTGTTCCCCCCTCAGCCTGGTCTCTGTTCCCCCTCAGCCGGGTCTCTGTTCCCCCTCAGCCGGGTCTCTGTTCCCCCCTCAGCCGGGTCTCTGTTGCTCCCTCAGCCCGGTCTCGGTTCCTCCCCGGCCGCGCTCGCTCCGGACCAGTCACCGCCACAATTCCCGCCACAGCCTCAAGCCCCGCCCCCCAAGCGCCTCCCAGCCAATCAACCCCCGCCTCACCCCCTTTGCCCCGCCCACCTCCCGCCTCTCGACCAATCAGCGCACGCACCTCTCCCCTCCTTTGGTTTCGGCGGAGCCCGGCGTGGAGGCGCTTTAAGGCAAAGACTACAAGTCCCATCAGGCTCTGCGGCGGGCGACGGGTGCGCGCTGAGGACAAACTTCCTGGAAACGCGGTGGGCTCTGACCGCTGTCCGACTGTCTGTCCGTCCCTCTGTCCCTTTGTCCCCTCCATGGGACAAATATCCAAGGATTTGCTGCCCAGCTCGGATTTGCCCCCAAACGTGAGAAAAAAAAGTTAAATAAATCCAATTTTTGGATAATTTCGCCGGTTATCCAGAGGGTTATCCCAGCCCGCCCAGGTCCTGCATCCCCCAAATCGGCGTCCTGGTGATTGAACCCAATTTTTAATTACTTGATTTTGGCAGGAAATGGAGCCCCAAAAGTGGTGGGATTGGGAAGAAGGCCCGGGAAGAGGCAGCTGGATCATCTCCAGCCTGGCTGGAAGGGGTTGTTTTGTGAGAAAACATTTGGAAAACCCACCCTGGCATTAGGAATTCCTATGGAATAGGAACTCACAGGGCTGGGATGGGGATCCAAGGAAGGGATGGGGTGGTTTGGGAAGGGATGGGGTGGTTTGGGAAGGGAGGGGTGGTTTGGGAAGGGAGGGGGGATTTGGGAAGGGATGGGGATTTGGGAAAGGATGGGTGGTTTAGGAAGGGAGGGGGATTTGGGAAGAATGGGGTGATTTGGAAAGGGATGGGGGAATTTGGGAAGGGATGGGGGATTTGGGAAGGGATGGGTGATTTGGAAAGGGATGAGGTGATTTGGGAAGGGATGGGGGATTTGGGAAGGGATGGGAATTTGGAAAAGGATGGGTGGTTTAGGAAGGGAGGGGGATTTGGGAAGGATGGGGTGATTTGGAAAGGGATGGGGTGATTTGGGAAGGGATGAGGTGATTTGGGAAGGGATGAGGTGATTTGGGAAGGGATGGGGAATTTGGAAAGGGATGGGGATTTGGAAAGGGATGGGGGATTTGTGAAGGGATGGGGAATTTGGGAAGGGATGGGTGATTTGGAAAGGGATGATGATTTGAAAAGGGATGGGGGATTTGGGAAGGGAAGAGGGATTTGGGAAGGGATGAGGATTTGGGAAGGGTTGGGGAATTTGGGAAAGGATGGGAATTTGGGAAGGGATGGTGGGATTTGGGAAGGGATGGGGTGATTTGGGAAGGGATGGGGAATTTGGGAAGGGATGGGGTGATTTGGGAAGGGATGGGGAATTTGGGAAGGGATGGGGTGATTTGGGAAGGGATGGGTGGTTTGGGAAGGGAGGGGGATTTGGGAAGGATGGGTAATTTGGGAAGGGATGGGGTGATTTGGGAAGGGATGGGTGATTTGGGAAAGGATGGGAATTTTGGAAGGGAAGGGGGATTTGAGAAGAGAAGGAGGATTTGGGAAGGGATGGTGGATTTGGGAAGAGATGGGGTGATTTGGGAAGGGATGGTGGATTTGGGAAGGGATGGTGGATTTGGGAAGGGATGGGGTGGTTTGGGAAGGGATGATGATTTGGGAAAACATGGGAATTTGGGAAGGGATGGGGGATTTGGGAAGGGATGGGAAATTTGGGAAGGGATGGGAAATTTGGGAAGGGATGGGTGATTTGGGAAGAGAAGGAGGATTTGGGAAGGGATGGGGGATTTGGGAAGGGATAATGAAGGAATTCTCAGGAGGTGGAAGGTCCCCAATTCCCTGGGAACAAGGGCCAGGAGGAGAGGGAACGGCCTCCAGCTGGGCCAGGGGAGGTTCAGGTGGGATATTGGGAACAATTCCCACCTGGAAAGGGCTGTCAGGCACTGGAATGAACTTCCCAGGGCAGGGCTGGATTCCCAATCCCTGGAGGTGTCCAAGGAATCCCTGGAATTGGCACTCAGGGCTCTGCTGGGGGTGGGTCACAGGTTGGATCTGATGACCTTGGGGGTCTTTTCCAACCTGAAGAATTCCTGGAATCCCAGGGTGCAATTCCCGCTCCTCAGAATTCTTTGGAACAAAAATTTCACCCCACTCCAAAAAAAAAAAAAACACCTTTAAAACAAATTTATATTTATGGTTTTTTTTCCCCTCTCCCCCTTTTTAATTTTACAAGGGGTCAGCCATCCCAGCTCCCAAATCCCAGCAGAGCCTGGAAAAACCTGGGAATGCTGGAAAAATGGGAGTTTCTCCTTTTTTTTTTTTTTTTTTTTTTTATTTTTTTTTTTTTTTTGGCAGGCGGGTTTTTTCTCGAGGCCCTTCAAGCTGTCAATTATCCCTCTGTTAATTAGCAGGGCCGTAAACCACGACGTCACCCCGCCCTCCCCCGGTGTCATTTGCTGCCTCCTGCTCCCGCCAGCTCAACATCATCATCACCATCATCATCATCATCACCATCATCATCATCATCATCATCATCATCGGCTCCAACGCAGAGAAAAAAAACCCTTCGGCCAAACTGGGGGAGAAAAGGAAGAGGGGGAATTAACACCCAAAAATGGATATTTTGGAAGGAGGGGGAGAGGGGGATGGATGGAGGGAATGAAGCTCTGAGAGGCTGGGAAAATTATCCCGGGAAAAGGACAAAAAGGATCCGGCTCGGCTGCTGCTCCAGATCCTTATGGAAAATCCGGGAGAAAAAACCCGCAGGAAAATATTTATTTAAAAAAATGTTTAAATAAATAAATAAATAAATAAATAAATAAATAAAAAGGATTCGAGAAACAAACAAACAAAGCAATTAAAAAAATTAATAATTAATTTGAAGTTTATTTATTAAACCCCAAAACTGCGCTCTGGTCTCCAGCATTTCCCCACTGGGAATGACTCTCCGGCCTTATTTTTCCCTAAAATATCCCCAAATCCAGGCTCTCCTCTTGCTCCCAGCACCGAGCAGATCTCCTTTGGGAATTTTTCCTTAATTTCCAGATTTTTTTTAGCCCAGGAACGTCCCGGGTGGTCTCACCTTGGGGGCACAAACGGATCGGGAAAAGCTTTTCCCTCCCGGCTCCGGCATTCCCGGGAAGTCTTTAGGAGGAATTACCGAGATAGGATCGTGGTTTTTAGGGTTTCACTGCCAAGGGTGGGGCAGGAAAGGTGCTGAAAAAAAGGAGAGGTGGTCCTGGCTGCGTGAATTCCCACCTGGAAGTGTGGGAAAAACAAAAAAAAACAGGGATAAAAACGCTGCTCTGCGGGAGAAACCACGGAAGGTCGGGATGGATTTTGGCCTTTCCCAGCCTGAGGCAGATGTTTTATTCCCGAGGATGGATCTGGCTCTGCCTTTCCCGAGGTGCCTGGATCCCCTCACCCGTGAAATGGGGAGTGGGAATTCTCTGCTCCATCCCCCAAATCAATCATTTCCCACCCTCCCGCCTGGAGCTGTCGGAGCGGGATGGGAATGAAGTCCGGGATAACCCCCCCCCTCCTCCTCTTTCTCATCCCAGATTTTGAGGGGGGAAAACAGAAAGATTTGAGGGGCCATCCCGGGAATTCAGGGAGGGAAAACAGAAGGATTTGAGGCGCCATCCCGGGAATTTGGGGGCGATCCTTTGGAGTGGGATCCATCTCCAAACCGGGACACTCCATTCCCACCGGAGCCCTCCATTCCCGGGATCCCCCGAGGTGATTTTGGGGCAGGTTTTTTCCCCCCCCTGAAATCATCCCCCCCCTTTATTTTTTCCCAGGATTTTAGTGGGGAAGAAAGCAGGGAATGCTGGCCGGGGCTGCACATTCCCAGCTGGCACATCCCGGGGGGGGTTGGGCTCAGACAACGCACGTGGGAAGTGGGGAAAAAAAAAAAAAAAAAAGAAAAAAAAAAAAAAAAAAAAAAGGGGGAGGGGTGGGAAGGGAAAAAAAAAAAAAAAAAAAAGGGAGGTGATGTGGGAAGCCCGCGTGTCACACCGTCTATATAAACACACACCCGCCCAGCCACCGGCTCCGGAGAGCCCACGGAGAGCCCACGGAGAGCCCACGGAGCCCCACGGAGCCGGCAGCACATCCCACCGCAGGTAAGGAATTCCACTCGGCATTCCCATCGCCGTTCCCGCAGGATTAGGGGAAGGAAAGAGGGGGGGGGGGTTCCTACCTGTTTTTAATTCGAGGACCGCCTGCAATTCGTGGATTTTGGGATGGAAGGGACGGATTTCTCCCCCCACCCCTCCCCGATCGGGGAGGGGGGGGGGAGAAATCCGTCCCTTCCATCCCGAGAGAGGAAAAGTTTGGATCTCTCCGAGCCCCCGAAATCATCCGACAAGAGCCGGCCCGAGGATCGGAGAGAGGGGGGGAAGCTCTGAGGGTTCGTTTAGGGGATAAATGGGATTTATTCAGGATTTTGGGGTTGTTTTTTCCCTATTCCTTCTCCCTTCCTCTTCCAACCAGGACTTTCACCGCGGGATGCTCCGCCAGAGCTCGCCATCCCATTTTTTTCCTCCCCCCCACCATCCCTAAAATCACAAAAAGGCGCAAAACCGCGATTTTTAGGTGGGTTTTTTTTTTAATTGCTTTGTGCCCTCCCCTCCCCTCAAAAATAAACCCCAGCAGGCACGAAGGGCTGCGGGAATAAACCTTATTCCCGAGGGTTTGGGGGTTTTTTTCCCCCTTTTTCCCAGCCTCTCCAACCCCACATCTGTGTTTACAATCACTCGGAGCGGCCGCCGCTCGTTCGGGCCAATTACGGCCAATTACCTGATTGAGGGGCGCGGGGAAAAAAGGAAAAAAGGTTCTTTTTTTTATTCCCAGCACCAGGCAGCTGGAGCCAAACCCCCCCTTCTCCTCCTCCTCCTCCAAATTCCCAAATCCTGCCGTTTCTCCATAAAATCCCACACACCCCCCCAGATTTTAGGTGGGGAGCAGGGAGGCGTTTTGGGGGGATGCTGTCGGACAATATCCTGCTTTTTTTGGGGCTGGAAAAGGCTCTGACTCTTTCCATGCTTGGATGCCGGCGGGGTTGGGTCCTTCCCGCTCTCATCCATCCCTTTTTCCCTCTGGATCAGGCCTTGGTTTTTGGGCAGGGCGGGAATCGGGGGAGGATGGGGTGGCTCGGGGTTGGTTTTGCTCCGGGCACTGCAAAGGGAAGAGCTGCGGGATTTGCTGGGCACGTGGCGGGATTAAATCCCGGAAAAAAAACCGGGAAATCGCTGCCTTTTAACCCCGCTGTTTAGGGAAAAAGGATGGCGATTCCCAGTGGGAAGAGGGGCTGGAGCATCCATGGAAGGGGGGAACTCCCTCCCCGGCCCGGATCGCGTCAAATGAAGCGAATAAAATCCCATCTCAGCCAGCACCTGCTTCCCCCTTTTCCACCTCCTCTCCCGGGCTCATTCCCAGCCCCTCATCCCTTTCCCGAATCACCCCTTTCCAAGGCAGCGTCTCCCTCGTCATCACACCCGGAGTGAGAAATTCAAACCCTCTCGCCCTGATGGATTAACCAGACCCCGGAACCGCAGGGCTGGATTTCCACCAAAAGAAAATAAAAATAAACCCCAAAACCCTCATTTTTTCCTTTTTCTCTCCCTCCCCCCCTTCCAAAAAAAAAAAAAAAAAAATGAATGAGGGTAATTCCACCGGCTGGAAAACTCGTCAGGATTCACCCCCGGGGCAGCCCCGAGTGGTTGTTTTCCCGACACACCCCTTGGCGTGGATGGGTTTGGTGGGTTTTTTTGGGGAGGAAAAGGGAGGTTTTGTGCCCCAGGAGATGCCTCGGTGCGGCCGTGACATCCCTTTTTCCAAAACACAAGGCTCGTGGGAAACGTCCCTTGGGAAAGAGGGCCCAGGTTCGGCTTTTTTTTCACTCCACAGAGAGGAAAAATATTTTTGGAATGGTGAAAAACGCCCCCCAAACCAGTGGAAAAATACAAGAATGGGGGGAAAAGGGGAGGGGGGACAGGGAAAAATAGGAGAGAAGGGGGAAAATGGGGAAATTAGGTGGAAACATCCCTCTTTTTCACACGGATTCGTGGCTGGGAATCTCAGGAAGGAGCTTCACCCACCCCCCCATCCCGAGGCTTCCAAAGGAAAATCAAAAAAAATCGTCTTTTCCTTAGAACAGGTGGATTTAATTTGGTTTTTTAAAGAGTGGGAGGGGGGTTGTTCCCTTGTTTCCCACCGGTTGGGAATGCTGGCATCCCGATAACATCTTTCAATTAAACCGGGAAGAAAAGCCGAGCCTCGGTGTCGGCGCCTCCTCCGCAGCCAGACCCGACCCCTTCTTTTCCCGCTTTTTTTTCCCGCTTTTTTTTCCCAGCTTTTCCCGCTTTTCCGGGGACGTTGGACTCGGTGTCCCCTTGGGGGGTGGGTGGATTTTCCAGCCTTTTCCCTGCCTCGTTGAGGGGCCGAGCCCTTTTTCCAGGGGGGGGAATTTGCCCTCTCCTGGGAGCTCCCTGCCAAGGCTCTCTCTGACTCAGCCGGGTTTAATGACTCGGTGGAGATTAAAAACCTTAATTCCCCAGCTCCTTATCAGCTTTTTTTCCCCCTCGGACCCTCCGGCAAAACGACGAGAGGGAGCTGCCGGGCGTGGGGGACAAAAGGTGACCCTCGTGCCACTCAGGGAGCCGGGAAGGTGCTGGAAGAAGAAGAAGGAGGAGGAGGAGGAGGATGGAGGGGGGGGCTGTGCTTGGAAAGGCGGGAAATAAATAGGGAATCTTTTCCCAGGTACTCAATTCCCACCTCCCCATTCCCTCCCCGGCCTGGAAGGATGGAGCAACGCCCAGATCTCCTCGATCCAGGCTTTTCTGGCACGGTGGTGGCACCAAAGTTCCCGTCACCTCCACCCCACCCCCATCTCCTTCGCTGTCCTACAAACCCACAAAGCACCGGGAGCCGCTCCCCCAGGGAATGTGGGATCCCTTTTCCCACATCCCAAGCGGGGTCGGGAGCACAGGGAATGTGGGATCCCTTTTCCCACATCCCAGCGGGGTCGGGAGCACAGGGAATGTGGGATCCCTTTTCCCACATCCCAAGCGGGGTCGGGAGCACAGGATCCCTTTTCCCACATCCCAAGCGGGGTCGGGAGCACAGGGAATGTGGGATCCCTTTTCCCACATCCCAGCGGGGTCGGGAGCACAGGGAATGTGGGATCCCTTTTCCCACATCCCAAGGGGGGTCGGGAGCACAGGAATGTGGATCCCTTTCCCCACATCCCAAGGGGGGTCGGGAGCACAGGGAATGTGGGATCCCTTTTCCCACATCCCAGCGGGGTCGGGAGCACAGGGAATGTAGGATCCCTTTTCCCACATCCCAAGCGGGGTCGGGAGCACAGGGAATGTGGGATCCCTTTTCCCACATCCCAGCGGGGTCGGGAGCACAGGATCCCTTTTCCCACATCCCAAGCGGGGTCGGGAGCACAGGGAATGTGGGATCCCTTTTCCCACATCCCAAGCGGGGTCGGGAGCACAGGGAATGTGGGATCCCTTTTCCCACATCCCAAGCGGGGTCGGGAGGACCGACCTTCCTGTTCCCGGGTGGCTCCTGGGGGAGAAAACCTCCCGGGAATTGGTCTCGGTGGGGTCAATTAATGACGTTTTTAATGGCACGCAGCGACACTCGGCGTGTCACCTGCAAAGCCACGGGCGGGTTCTGTGGGATTGGCCTTTGATGCTCCACATCGGGACGGGCTCAGATCCCGGGAAAAATAAAAACAAACAAAAAAAACAAACAAACAAACAAAAAAAAAACACAAAAAAAAAAAAAACCAAAAAAAAAAAGCACACCCCAAAAAAAAATTTAAAAAAATAGAAAAAAAGAAAAAAAAAAAAGACAGGAACAGGGGGTGGAAGCACCCACCCAGGAAGGAAAATTGGGATGGGGAGTTCCCTGCTCCGGGCACATCCAGGGGACTTGGGACGTGCTGCCCAACCACGTCCCCCTCCTAAAATAACCCCCGACCGGGCCTCGTGCCATGGGATAACCTGGAAAAAAAAAACCTCCTCCTGGGGATCCGTTTCGGGTGGCGTTGAAGGGGGGGTTTTGAGGATCGATCGTGCTCCTTTTTTTCCCCCACTCCTCCGAAAGGATAATTTCGGACGGGGAAGCGAGGAAGGGGAGGTGGTGGCGGTGGTGGCGGTGCCGGAGCCCTCCCGGCGTGAATGAATTCCCGTTTTTGGGGTTTTTTTTTGTTATTCCAGGCGCTGCCGGGGTTGTGGGGGGCTGGTGCCGCCATGAGGGCCGTGCTGTGGGACCTGCTGCTGCTCTGCCTGTTCGCCCGGGCGCGGGGGGATTGCCGGGGGGATTGTCTGCACTGCGACCGGCAGCTCTATCGCGACTCCTTCGACGTCCTCGTGAGTCCCCCACGGGTGACGGTGGAAGGGGGAGAGGGGGGACACACGGACAGTGATGGCCCCTGGCGGGGGTGGGGACAGGGACACGCTGCTCCACCCCGTTCAGCATGGGATGGTCCCGAGGGAGGGTGGAGAGAGAGGGTTGGGAGAGGTGGGGGCAGAGGTTGTGATGGCTCCGGGAGGGTCGCGAGATTTCTGAGTATTCCCGGGTTTCCTGCGTCCCAAACTCTGAGTATTCCCGGCTTTCCTGTGTCCCAAACCTCTGAGTATTCCCGACTTTCCTGCGTCCCAAACCCCTCAGGGTCCCCAGATTTCCTGCATCCCAAAACCTGGAGTATTCCTGGCTTTCCTGCATCCCAAAACCCTGAGTATCCTCCTAAACATCCCCAGCTTTCCTGCATCCTAAAACCCTGAGCATTCCCAGCTTTCCTGCATCCCTAACCCTGAGTATTCCTGGCTTTCCTGTGTCCCAAACCCCTCAGCGTCCTCAGATTTCCTGCGTCCCAAACCCCTGAGCATTCCCGGCTTTCCTGCATCCCAAAACCCTGAGTATCCTCCTAAACATCCCCAGCTTTCCTGCATCCCAAACCCCTGAGCATCCCCAGATCTCCTGCATCCCAAACCCCTGAGCATTCCCAGATTTCCCACATCCCAAACCCCTCAGCGTCCCCAGATTTCCTGCATCCCAAAACCCTGAGCATACCCACTTTCCTTTATCCCAAACCCCTGAACATCCCCAGCTCTCCTGCATCCCCAAACCCCTGAATATTCCCACCTTTCCTGCATCCCAAACCCCTGAGCATCCCCACTTTCCTTTATCCCAAAAACTGGAGCATTCCTGGTTTTCCTGCATCCTAAACCCCTGAGCATCCCCAGCTTTTCTGCCTCCTAAACCCTGAGTATTCCCGGCTTTCCTGCATCCCAAACCCTGAGTATTCCCAGCCTTCCCGTGTCCCAAACCCCTGAGCATCATCCTGAGCATCCTCAGCTTTCCTGCATTCCAAACCCTGAGCATTCCCAGCTTTCCTGCATCCCAAAACCTGAGTATTCCCAGCTTTCCTGTGTCCCAAACCCCTGAGCATCATCCTGAGCATCCTCAGCTTTCCTGCATTCCAAACCCTCGAGTATTCCCAACTTTCCTGCATCCCAAATCCCTGAGCATCCCCAGATTTCCTGCATCCCAAACCCCTGAGCATTCCCAGATTTCCTGCATCCCAAAACCCGGAGTATTCCTGGCTTTCCTACATCCTAAGCCCCTGAACATCGTCCTGAGCATCCCCAACTTTCCTGCATCCCAAACCCTGAGCATTTCCAGCTTTCCTGTGTCCCAGACCTGTGAGCATTCCCAGATTCCCTGCATCCTAAACCCCTGAACATCATCCTGAGCATCCCCAGCTTTCCTGCATCCCAAACTCTGAGTATTCCCGGCTTTCCTGCATCCCAAATCCCTGAGCATTCCCAACTTTCCTGCATCCCAAAACCCTGAGCATTCCCAGCTTTCCCACATCCCAAACCCCTGAGCATCCCCAGCTTTCCTGCATCCGAAACCCCTGAGCATTCCCAGATTTCCTGCATCCCAGACCCCTGAACATCCCCAGCTTTCCTGCATCCTAAAACCCTGAGCATCCTCCTAAACATCTCCAGCTTTTCTGCATCCCAAACCCCTGAGCATCATCCTAAGCATCCACAGTTTTCCTGCATCCCAAAACCCAGAGTATTCCTGGCTTTCCTGCATCCCAAACCCCTGAACACCATCCTGAACATCCCCAACTTTCCTGCATCCCAAACCCCTGAGCATCCCCAGATCCCTTGCATCCCAAAACCCTTAGCATCATCCTGAGCATTCCCAGATTTCCCACATCCCAAACCCCTCAGCATCCCCAGATTTCCTGCATCCCCAACCCCTCAGCATCCCCAGATTTCCTGCATCCCCAACCCCTCAGCATCCCCAGATTTCCTACATCCCCAAACTCTGAGTATTCCCAACTTTCCTGCATCCCAAATCCCTGAGCATCCCCAGATTTCCTGCATCCCAAACCCCTGAGTATTCCCGGCTTTCCTGCATCCCAAAACCCTGAGTATTCCCGGCTTTCCTGCATCCCAAACCCCTGTGGATTCCCGACTTTCCCACATCCCAAACCCCTGAGCATTCTCCTAAACATCCCTGCTTTCCTGCATCCCAAAACCTGGAGTATTCCTGGCTTTCCCACATCCCCAAACCCCGAGCATTCCCTGTTTTCCACCTCCACATCCTGTGGCATTGCTATCCCTTCAATCCCAACCCCAGACCCCCATCCCAACCTCCAAGGAGCCCCCAAAATCCCACTCTGAGCCCCTTTAGGGCGGGAGCAGCTTTGGCAACACCCGGAGCTGGGAATTGTCCCCCCATTCCACAAAATCCCAGACTTCCAAGCCCTATGGACACTCTGGAGCCCACTCCTGGTGCCACCCCCTGCCTGGCACGGAATTTTGGGATGGGACCACTCCCAAAACGTTGATCTGCGTGTGAAGGCACCGACAGCTCCGTAGGATCCTCCTCTTCCAGCTGGAAGAGCCTGGAATTGCTCCATCTCCCCACCATCCAGGAAGCTGGGGAGGGAACGGGAATGTCGGTGGATCCCGAGGGAGCGGAAGAACTTAGGAGATCTTTCCAGGCCCAGTTTCAGGTGGAAGAAGCTCCCAGGTGGGAATTCCACAAGATCCTGTGCCATCTCCAGAGAGCATCGTCCAAGGAATTCCCACCAGGGAGCAGGAGATGCCCCCGAAGTCACAGGCATGGAAGGAGGAGGGAAGGACAGGGATGAGCTGGCGGAATGGGAATGCATTCCCAGCATCCAAAGTCATGCTGGGATGGCACAAATCCACGGAAAAACGGGATGCGGAGGAGCTCCCACCGGTGTTTGCCGAGAATTCCCGATCCACCACCTGCGGAGAGAAGCCGATTCCTTGGGATTTGAGACCACGGGTGGATACCTGAGGGCCTTGGGATGCCCACGGTGCCACTGGGACTGCTGATGGTCTCCATCCCCACCTCCGGAAAATCTCCCGTGGGAACCTTTCCACGCTCGACCATGTCGACATTCCCGACATTCCCGACATTCCCGAGAGTCTTTCCAGATGTTTTCACCTCTAACCATGAGACCCCCAACGTGCTCTGATGCCTGCTTGGTGTCCAGCACTTTAAGGGTCCCACCAGGAAGATGTAAATGGGATGGAGACGATTCCATGTCCCGGTGTTCGTCCGGTTCGGATCTTCCATGGTTTTTTTTTCCTCCTGGATGGTGTTCCCTGGGCGGTCCCGGTGCCGGGCCGGTGTCTGGATTTGTTGGATGAGGCCTCTCGGAGAGGGATGAGGCACGGGAAGTGCCGATGATGGAAGGGACGTGGTGAGGGTGGCGGATTCCTGGGAAGCGGGAGGAGGAAGATGTCACACCTGGCAGGCACGGAGGAGGATTTGGGAATATCCAACGGGGCTCCCCTCAATCCTTGGAGCTCATCACCCTGCAGGGGGTGAAGGAAGGGGAAGAAGGTCATGGGAGCAACGGGAATGGATTCCCATTCCAGCTGGGAGAGCAGCAGGTGCTGCTGCCATCCAGAGGAACATTCCAGGCCTGGCAGGAACCTGGGAAGGATCAACAAGGAGGAAAGTCCTGCCCTTTGGGGAGGAACAACCCCAGGCACCAGGATGTGCCATGGGAACGTGCCAGATGTCGCTTCCCACCCGTACCATCCTTTCCCACTCCACCATCCCTCCCCACTCCACCATCCCTCCCCACTCCACCATCCCTCCCCACTCCACCATCCCTTCCCATCTCCACCATCCCTTCCCACCTCCACCATCCCTTCCCACCTCCACCATCCCTTCCCACCTCCACCACCCCTTCCCATCACTACCATTCCATCCCACCTCCACCATCCCTTCCCACCTCCACCATCCCTTCCCAATCCACCATCCCTTCCCACCTCCATCATCCCTTCCCAGCTCCTCCATCCCTTCCCACCCCTACCATCCCTTCCCACCTCCTACCATCCCTTCCCACCCCTACCATCCCTTCCCACCCCACCATCCCTTCCCACTTCCACCATCCCTTCCCACCTCCATCATCCATTCCATCCCACCTCCACCATCCCTTGGCATCTCCACCATCCCTTCCCACCTCCACCATCCCTTCCCACCTCCATCATCCATCCCTTCCCACCTCCATCATCCATCCTTTCCCACTCCACCATCCCTTCCCACCTCCACCATCCCTTCCCACTTCCACCATCCCTTCCCACCTCCACCATCCCTTCCCATCTCCACCATCCCTTCCCACCTCCATCATCCCTTCCCAGCTCCATCATCCATCCCTTCCCAGCTCCTCCATCCCTTCCCAGCTCCTCCATCCCTTCCCAGCTCCTCCATCCCTTCCCAGCTCCACCATCCCTTCCCACCTCCAGCATCCCTTCCCACTTCCACCATCCCTTCTCACTTCCAGCATCCCTTCCCACCTCCACCATCCATCCCTTCCCACTCCACCATCCCTTCTCACTTCCAGCATCCCTTCCCACCTCCACCATCCCTTCCCACCTCCACCATCCCTTCCCACCTCCATCATCCCTTCCCAGCTCCTCCATCCCTTCCCACCTCCTCCATCCCTTGGCATCTCCATCATCCCTTCCCATCTCCACCATCCCTTCCCACCTCCATCATCCCTTCCCACCTCCACCATCCCTTCCCACCTCCACCATCCCTTCCCACCTCCATCATCCCTTCCCATCTCCACCATCCATCCCTTCCCACCTCCACCATCCCTTCCCACCTCCACCATCCCTTCCCATCACCATCCATCCCTTCCCATCTCCACCATCCCTTCCCACCTCCATCATCCATCCCTTCCCACCTCCACCATCCATCCCTTCCCACCTCCACCATCCCTTCCCACCTCCATCATCCATCCCTTCCCACCTCCACTGTCCCTTCCCACCTCCACCATCCCTTCCCACCACTACCATTCCATCCCACCTCCACCATCCATTCCCACCTCCACCATCCCTTCCCATCACTACCATTCCATCCCACCTCCACCATCCACCCCTTCTCACCTCCACCATCCCTTCCCAGCTCCTCCATCCCATGACTCGCTGATTTTTTGGGCTCATGCCTGGCTGGAGCACCCAGGAGAGCCTGGAGCGGTGGAACAGGAGCGTGGAATTCACTGGGAAGTGTGGGGCATGTCCATCCAGGAGCAGAGCCCACCTAGGGAAGAGGGATGCTGAGCACTCCATGACTTCCCAACTTTACCACCACCAACCCTCCCAACCTCCAGGAGCCCAGGAATGGGATTTGGGAGGGGAATGAGGTCAGGGAAGGGCTGATGAGCTGCTGGTGCCTTTCCATGGGTGTTTTCCAATGGGATGCAGGGCCAGATGGGCTGGAAGTGGGTGGATGTCCAAGCACCTGGAATTTAATGAGGAGCTCTGAGCTCCCTCCTGATCCAACACAACCCAACCATCCCAACCCAATTCAGCCCAACCCAACCATCCCAACCCAATCCATCCCAACCCAATCCAACCCAACCCAACCATCCCAACCCAAACCAACCCAACCAAACCCAACCATCCCAACCCAATCCAGCCCAACCCAACCATCCCAACCCATCCCAACCCAACCAGCCCAACCCAACCATCCCAACCCATCCCAACCCAAATCCATCCTGCAACCCAATCCATCCCAACCCAATCGTCAGCCCAACCCAACCATCCCAACCCAATCCAACCCAATCCAACCCAACCCTCCCAACCTAAACCAACCCAACCCATCCCAACCCAACTGGCCATCGCCAGCCCAACCCAGTCCCGTCACCAGACACCAACCCATCCGTCCAACCCAACCCCAATCCAATCATCCATCCCAACCCAATCCAATCCATCCCAACCCAACCCAACCATCCCAACCCAATCCAACCATCCCAACCCAATCCAATCCAACCCATCCCAACCCAATCCAACCATCCCAACCCAATCCAACCATCCCAACCCAATCCAATCCATCCCAACCCAACCCAATCCAACCCATCCCAACCCAATCCAACCTTTCCATCCCAACCCTCCCAACCCAGTCCAACCCAGGCCTCCCAATCCAACCCAACCCAACCCTCCCAACCCTCGCAACCCAACCCAAACATCCCAACCCAACCCAACCTATCCCAATCCTCCCAACCCAACCCTCCCAATCCAATGAACCCAACCCAACATATGCCAACCCAACCTATCCCAACCCAACCCAACCCTTGTAACTGATCCCAACTCAACCCAACCTTCCCAACCAACTCAAACCTCCCAGTCCAACCCTCCAAACCCAACCCATCCCAACCCAACCCAACCCTCCCCAACCCATCCCAATCCAACCCAACCCTCCCAGCCTAAACCAACCTAAACCTCCCAACCCAACCCTTCCCAACCCATCCTACCCATCCCATCCCATCCCATCCCATCCCATCCCATCCCATCCCATCCCATCCCATCCCATCCCATCCCTCACAATCTAACCCAACCCAACCCCGCAACTCATCCCAACCCAACATATCCTAACCCAACCCAACACATCCCAATCCAACCATCCCAACCCAACCTCCCATTCCAACCCAACCCATCCCAACCCATTCCCTCCCAACACAACCCAATCCTCCCAATCCAACCCCAACCATCCCAACCCAACCCAGCCCAGCCCAATCCAACCTTTCCTTCCCAATCCCAACCCAACCCAATCCAACCCAACCCAACCCATCCCAACCTTCTCATTCCAACCCAACCCAATCCAACCCAACCCAATCCAACTCTTGTAACCCAACCCAAGCCAATCCAACCCAAGCCTCCCAACCCTCCCCACCCAATCCATCCCAACCTTCTCATTCCAATCCAATCCAACCCAATCCAACCCAACTCTTGTAACCCAACCCAAGCCAGTCCAACCCAACCCTCTCATCCCAACCCAACCCATCCTCCAATTCCACGATTCAGGGGGGGACAACACTACCAAGCACCCCACATTCCCAGGAATTCTATAACCCGCCCTGACCTGACCTCCCACCCCTCTCTCCCCCTTCCCCCAGATCTGCATCCTGGAGTGCGAGGGCGAGGCGGTTCCTCGGGCCACCTGGGAGCTCTGCGCCGCCGCCAGCCGCGCGTCCCCGCGGGCTCGAGACCTCGCCGCCCAACCCTGGCCCGACCCCAACCCGCCGAACCCGCCGCGGCGCCGCGAGGCCGGAACCACGCCGGGAGCCTTCCCGCAACCTCCCGCCGAGGACATTTCCCGCCGCTTCCCGCCGGGCTGGCGGGCGGTGCCGGCGGCCAAGGGGGTGCAGAAGCGGTACGGGGGCTTCATCGGGGTGCGCAAGTCGGCGAGGAAGTGGAACAACCAGAAGAGGTTTAGCGAGTTCCTGAAGCAGTACCTGGGGATGGCGCCGCGCTCCAGTGAGTACGACTTGGGCGGCGGCGGCTTCGGAGAGCACAACGAGATCTAACGGAGAAACCCCCGCGGAGTCCGCCGGGGCCACCAAAATCAGCCCTCCATAAAAACACCCCCACCCACACCACCCACCACCCACACCTCGCTCCGCCACGGTCCGTAGGGAAAATTTAATAGTGGTAAATTAATGATATAAAAGGGGTCAAGTAGTGGTAATAATTAAATAAAACAAAAAAAAGGTCAAAATGATAGTAATAATAATAATCAAATAAAAAAATAGGGTCATAATAATAATAGTCAAATAAAAGAAAAATAAAGGGCCAAAATAAAACAAAAAAGGGGGCATAATAATGGTAATAATAATAATAATCAAATAAAAAAAAAGGGTCATAATAATAATAGTAAAATAAAACAAAAAAAAGGGTCAAAATGATAGTAAGAATCAAATGAAAACAAAAAAGGGTCATAATAATGATAATAATCAAATAAAGCAAAAAAAGAGGTCATAATAATAGTAATAATTATAATCAAATAAAACAAAAAAGGGTCAAAATAATAGTAATAATAATAATCAAATAAAAAAAAAGGGTCATAATAATAATAGTCAAATAAAACAAAAAAAAAGGGCCAAAATAATAATAATAATAATCAAATAAAACAAAAAAGGGTCATAATAATAGTAATAATTATAATCAAATAAAACAAAAAAAGGGAGAAAATAATAATAATAATTATAATCAAATAAAACAAAAAAAGGGTCATAATAATAATAATAAAATAACACAACAACCAAAAAAAGGGGGTCATAAGAATAATAATAATCAAATAAAACAAAGAAAAAGGGGCCAAAATAATAATAATAATAATAATAATCAAATAAAACAAAAAAGGGGGTCATCACCATCATCATCAAATAAAAAAAAAGGGCCAAAATAATAATAATAATAATCAAAGAAAACAAAAAAAAAAGGGGCCAAAATAATAATAATAATAATCAAATAAAACAAAAAAAATTTGGGAATTTGAGTGGGAAAGAGAAATTGGAGACTGAGGGAGGGATGGTGAGGGTGGAAGGTCCTTTGGGGTCCAGGGAGGAGGATTTAGGTCTTGCCCCCCCAAAAAAAAAACCCAAAAACCACGAGGAAAATTAAAATCAATCAGGAAAATGTAAAAAAAATTAAAAATTTAAAAATTGAAATTAAATTTTTTTTAAAAAATTTCAAACCCGAACTCGAACGGGAGAAGTTTGAAATGAAAGGAAATTAAAATGAGGGTTTTAAAGTAAAGTTGAAGGTGAGGATGAGAGAAGTGGAGAGTAAAACATAAAGGGATAAAAAATGAAATCTGAGTGGGTAAAACCAGAAGAAATTACAAATATTGAGAGGAAATAGAAAGGGGTTCAGAATCTTTACAAGAAATGAAAAGTTTAGGACTCGTTAAAATGAATTTAAAAAATTAAAGTGTTTAAAATGAATTAAAAGGAAATGAATTCAAAGAAACTGAAAGGAAAGAATAAAATAAAAATAAATCAATTTTAAAATCAATTAAATGACGTCGAAATGAAATGACAGTGAAATTAAATTACGATTAAATTAAAAATAGACAAGTAAATCAAATATGATAAAATTTAAAAATAATGAAACCAAATGAAATGAAATGAAATAATATAAAATAAAATAAAGTAAAATGAAATAATATGAAATAAAATGAAATGAAATGAGATGAAATGAAATAAAATAAAATAAAATGAAATGAAATTAAGTAAAATAAAATAAAAAAATAATGAAATAAAATGAAATAAAATAAAGTGAAATAAAATAAAATTAAAATAATGAAATAAAATGAAATAAAAGGAAATGAAATAAAATAAAATGAAATAAAATAAAATAAAATGAAATGAAATAAAATAAAATAAAAAATAATGAAATAAAATGAAATAAAATAAAATGAAATGAAATGAAATGAAATTAAATAAAATGAAATGAAATAAAATAAAATTTTTAAAAATGAAATGAAATAAAATAAAATAAAATAAAATAAAATAAAATAAAATAAAATAAAATAAAATAAAATAAAATAAAATAAAGTAGAACAGTTTCCCGTCAGGAATTAAAGAGTTCCTCCCCCAGAAGGCTGCAGTTCTGCATTCCCAGCCGGAGCAGGGGGTTAATCCCACGCTGCCATTCCCAGGGATCTGCCGTGTCCCCCCCCCGGGCCGGGATGTTCGGAACCCTCCCCTCTCCCCCTCGCAGCTGCCGAGACCGCCCCTCCCTCCCTCCCCAACACCCCAAATCCACAATTTGGGGGAGATTTAATTAAATTTCTCCCCCTTTTTTTTTTATTTTGTTCTTTTCCCTTTTTCCCCTCCCCCTTGGGCGCCATCCCCCTTTTAAATTTCGGGATGCACCCCCTTCCTTCCCTCCCCGTCCCCTCGGGAAGGAGCTTGGGGCTCCCTCCGCTCTCTCGGCTCAGCTGCTTTTTTGTTTTTTTTTTTTCCCTCCCTCTCCTTTTCTTTTTTATATATTTTCCATTTTTTTCCCCCCTTCTTTAATTTCCCCAATTTTTTTTCCCCCTCCCCTTTTTGGAGTTGTTTTTTATTTATTTAATTATTTATTTATTTAAATTTATTTATTTATTTATTTATTTAAATTTATTTTAATTTTATTTCTTTCTTTATTTAATTACTTATTTTATTTAATTACTTATTTTATTTAATTTATTTTATTTATTTATTAAAAAATTTTATTTATTTATTTATTTTATTTATTTTTTATTTCTTTCTTTATTTAATTAATTATTTTATTTATTTTATTTATATTTATTTATTTTAAATTTATTTATTTATTATTTCTTTCTTTATTTAATTACTCATTTTATTTAATTACTTACTTTATTTTATTTATTTATTTATTTATTTATAATTTATTTATTTATTATTTCTTTCTTTATTTAATTACTTATTTTATTTAATTACTTTATTTTATTTATTTATTTATTTAAAATAAATTTATTTTAATTTTTTTTTATTTAAAATTTTTTATTTATTTAATTACTTATTTTATTTTATTTATTTTATATTTATTTATTTAAAACTTACTTATTTTTTTATTTATTTATCATTTTATTTCTTTATTTAATTACTTATTTTATTTAATTAATTTAATTTTATTTATTTATGTATTTATTTATTTATTTTATTTAATTATCCTCTTTGTGTTTTTTTTTAATTTTTTTAAAATTTTTGTTTTGTTTTTTTTTTTTTTGTTATTTTCCCCTTTCTTCTCCTCTACTTTTTTCCCTTTTTTTTTCCTTTTTGGGTTTTATTTCTGTTATGTTTTCCTTTTGGGTTTTATTTCTGTTATGTTTTCCTTTTGGGTTTTATTTCCGTTATGTTTTCCTAGCGTTCCGGCACCGCATCCCGGCACCTTCCGCCCGGCACAGGCAAAATTAAAACCTCCCGTCCACCCCAGCAGCTCCATCCTCTTCTTCTTCTTCTTCTTCTCCTCCTTCTTCTCCTCCTTCTTCTTCTTCTCCTCCTCTCTCTCTGCCGGATTCCCAAAAAAAAAAGGCGCTTCCGACTCCTCGCCCTGGGCCCGAAATGACTTTTGCTCTTCACCCACCTAAAGCCGCATTCCCAAAACCGCCACCCGACGGAATTTTCGGCGCCACCGGAGCGAGATTCCAACGGGGGAAGGGAGGGGAGGGATGTGGGGGGTGAGGGATTGGGATGGGTGGGAATTCCAACAAAAGGAGGGGGAAAAAAAAAAAAGGGGATTCCCCCCCCCCCTAAAAAAAAAAAAAAATCGGATTATTTTGGGTTTTGGGTTCATTTTAATTTCAAACATCCCCTTGGATCTGGGATGGGGGAATCAACACCTCCCCCACCCCATCAACCACGTTCCCAGTGCCTTCCCAGCATCCTGTGGGATTTATTCCCAACTTTTAGGATGGGGAGTGCCCAGTCTCCAACCCTCACCCAGAGCCCAAAAATCACCTGGAATTCCTTATTTATCCTAATCCCGATCCTAATCCTTTCATTTCCGCCACACTCCCACCCCCCACTTTTATTTTCCCAAGCGTTTTTCCCGGTTTTCCCTTGGAATTTTGAGGGTTTCCCGTCGCGTTCTCCTCCCCATCCTTCCCATATCCCCGCCCTGGGAATGTGGGATTTTCCCTCCTCGCTCCCAGAGGGAGAATCAAACCTGGTCGATTCCCCCCTCCTGCAAATTCGCTCTCCCCTTCCACCCCCTCAAAAAAAAAAATTCCAAATTTAATCCTGGGAATGACCCAGAATTAAAAAAAATAATAGAATAATCCCCCCACGGAAAAAACCCCACCAAAAACCAGGAAAAAACCCAACCAAACAACAAAAAAAAGGAGGATAATTCCGCGATTCTTGTTCTTTTTAATTGTTTCCTACGACGATTTTCTCCATTAAACTTGTACATAGCAAAAAAAAAAAGGATTAATAAATTTAGTTTACTGTTTCTACGATATCCTGGCGACTGGCCCCCGTCACTTGGGTGCCCCATCCCCACTCCTGCCCCTCACAACATCAGCCCTGGGAATTGTTTTATTTGGGGGGAAAACAAAAAAAAAAGGGAAAAAAAAAGGGAATTTCGGTGAATTTCGTGTGATTTTTTCCAGGAGCTGTTCCGGAAATTCCCTTTGTTGGGAGGACCATCCACCCTGAAAGAAAGGGATGGATCAAAAGGGTTGTTAGAAGGGGAGAAAACCAAAAAAAAAGAGGTATTTTGGGGTTTTGGGAGCGAGGAGAGGAATTCCCAGCTGGCTCCATGACCCTTTTCCGTAGGGATAGCGGAGGGGTCTCCGTCGGAACTGCGGCCCAGGTGGAAATTTGGGTGTCCCTCTTCTTTTCAGGATCTGGGGACAGGAGAAGCTCCCAGGATCCTCAGCCAGGCTGGCCCCAGGATGCCCAGTTAGATCCCAGCTGGGTTCGGAACCAGCACCTGGAGGCGATTCCCAGGCTCGCTGTCAATTAATTAACCAATTAACCGGGACGAGATTTGGGGGTTTCTTTCTTTTTGGCCTGTGGGGAGGTGGGACAGGAGGTCCCCGAGCTGCCCTGGTGGGATGGGTTGGGATCTCGGGTTCAGGGCCAGCCCCAGCCCTCCAGGAGTTGTTGTAGGAATGGCAGGAATTGCGGGAATTGCGTCCGTTTGGTGTTCCCGAGGGGGTCGTTTTTAATAAGAGTTCTTTTTTTCCCCCACCTCTCTTTTCCCACATGGAGGGATCAACCCTTCACAAACCACCCATCTCAGCCTCCACCCCCCCTTTCCCAGTTCCTCTCTCACCTCAAAATGCCTTTTAAAAAACCAAAATAATGAATAAAACAACAGAAAATCATCCACTTTTTGCTGCATCAAAAGGCAACTTCGACCCGGAATTCCGGGACAACACTTCAGGAAATCTGGGAAGGTTTTAGCCCTCCCTCATCAAACTCCTTCAGCGCCTTTTTCGGGATGCTGCCAGCCGTGGAATTCTCCTGGAAGGGCTGGCAGGACCTGGGGGTGACCGGGAATGGCGCCACTTCCAGCCGGGCCCTGGTGGTTCCTCAGGGCTCGGAGCCGGGAACGGTCCCGTTTAATCCTCAGGGATGTTCTGGGATCACCCTCGGGCAGGGATGGGTGGGATGTGGATCTGCTGGAGAGCAGGATGGATCTGCAGAGGGATGTGGACATGCTGGATCCGTGGGATGGATGGGCCGAGGCCACGTGCCGGGAATTGCAGGTGGGGCACCACAATCCCCAGGGAATGTTCCAGGATGGAGGAAGAGTGGCCAGGGAAGGGAACGGAGCTGGGAAGGGGCTGGAGCAGCAGGAGAGGCTGAGGGAGCTGGGGGGGCTCATCCCAGAGAAAAGAGGGATCAAGGGGGACCTTCTGGCTCTGGATCCAAGGAAGGGTCAGCTCTGCTCCCAGGGAATGAGGAGGAGGAGGAGAGGGAACGGCTCCAGCTGGGCCAGAGGGAGCTCAGGTGGGATATTGGGAACAATTCCCACCTGGAAAGGGCTGTCAGGCACTGGAATGAACTTCCCAGGGCAGGGCTGGATTCCCAATCCCTGCAGGGATTCCCAATCCCTGGGGATGTGGCCCTTGGGGACACGGGGCAGGGCTGGCCTGGGCTGGTTGGACTCCGGAATTCCAGAGGGATTTTCCATCCTGAGCCATCCCTAAGGATTCGAAAGGGCTGTCAGGCACTGGAATGAACTTCCCAGGGCAGGGCTGGATTCCCAATCCCTGCAGGGATTCCCAATCCCTGGGGATGTGGCCCTTGGGCACACGAGGCAGGGCTGGCCTGGGATGGTTGGACTCCAGAATTCCAGAGGGATTTTCCATCCTGAGCCATCCCTAAGGATTCTGGGCCATCCTGGCACTGTCCCAGCTCTCTCCACAATTCCCTGGCAGGAATTCTCAGGATTCCTGGGTCCCCAATTCCCAGGGAAGGAGGGCCAGGAGGGAGAGGGAACGACCCCCAGCTGTGCCAGAGAGAGCTCTGGTGGGATATTGGGAACAATTCCCACCTGGAAAGGGCTGTCAGGCACTGGAATCAACTTCCCAGGGCAGGGCTGGATTCCCCATCCCTGCTGGGATTCCCAATCCCTGGGGATGTGGCCCTTGGGGACACGGGGCAGGGCTGGCCTGGGCTGGTTGGACTCTGGAATTCCAGAGGGATTTTCCAACTTTAATCATCCCAAAGGATTCCCAATGCTGGCATTGTCCCATCTCCTACAACCAAAAGGGATTTTAATAAGGTGGGGCTTCCCCAATTCCCAGGGAATGAGGACCAGGATGAGAGGGAACAACCTCGAGAGCACGTTTAGTCAGATATTGGGAACAATTCCCACCTGGAATTCCTGCTGCCAGGCACTGGAATGACCTTCCCAGGGCAGAGCTGGAATCTCCACTCCCTGGTGGCATCCAAGGAACAACGGGACGCGCTCCCAGCTTGGACTCGCTGACCTCGGAGCTCTGAACAATTCCCGGGATTCCTCCCGTCAAAAATTCCGGGGAAATCGGGGCTGTTTGGTTCCGTTTTTCCCTGGGCTCACACCGCTCCCTAGCGGCGCCAGGAAAAACTATTCCCAAAAAAAAACATCCTCTGGGATGAGGACGAGCGGCAGGAAAAGCGGGAAATAAACACACAAATCCCACAAAAACATCCACGGAGCCCCCTCCTCTCCAGGCGACTTTTCCTTTTATTTCTTATAAAATATATTTATTTCCTTCTCGCTAAATGTAAATGTAAAAATTACATTTCACTTTTTTTTCTTTGTTTTTTTTCCCATCTCTTTTTTTTTCCTTTTTTTTTTCCCTTTTTTTTTTCCTTTTTTTTTTCAATTTTTTTTCATTTTTTGTCGTTGTTTTGTTGGTTTTTTTTTTTATTTATTTAAACCATAAAAATAATCCTCGGAAGACAATTGAGAAAAGGTTTGATGTCGACAGGTGATAAAAAGTGTCCCCAATCCCTTCCCTGGTGTCCCCCCCCAAACCTGTGCTTAAAAAAAAAAACAAAATTTGGGAAGAGTTTCCTGGTTGGAAAAGTGGGAGCAGCTTCCAATTAAATTAGTGGGATGAGGGAAAATTTTCCCGGTTGGATTTCCAGGTTGGGACAGAATAAAATAATTTAAAAAAAAATTAAAAATAATAATTAAAACACAAACAAACAAAACAAAAAAAAAAGGGAAAAAGAGCCACCCAGACTCAGTTTTTTCTGTTAAAAAAAATAATAAAAAATTAAAATACTAAAAAAAAAAAATTAAATAAAGGGTGGGATCAAACATTCCTATGGCAGGGGATTCCCTGCCAGGCAGGTAAGTGCTCTGAGATGGGGGAAAAAGGAGGGGGAAAAGAAAAGGAGGAAAAAAGGAGGGGGAAAAATGAGGAGGGAAAAAGGAGGGGAAAAAAGGAGGAAAAAAAGGAGGAAAAAAGGAGGAAAAAAGGAGGAAAAAGGAGGAAGAAAAAAGGAGGAAAAAGAGAAGGAGGGGAAAAGGAAGGGGGAAAAGGAGGAAAAAGGAGGGGAAAAAAAGGAGGAGGAAAAAAGGAGGGGAGGAAAAAGGAGGGGGAAAAAAAGGAGGGAAAAAGGAGGGAAAAAGGAGGAAAAAGAGGGGGAAAAAGGAGGGAGAAAAAAGGAGGAGGAAAAAGGAGGAAAGAGGAGGAAAGGAGGAAAAAGGAGGAGAAAAAAAGGAGGAAAAAAGGAGGAGGAAAAAGGAGGAGGAAAAAGGAGGAGGGGAAAAAAGGAGGGGAAAAAAGGAGGGGAAAAAAGGAGGGGGAAAAAAGGAGGGGAAAAAAGGAGGGGAAAAAAGGAGGGGAAAAAAGGAGGAGGGAAAAAAGGAGGGGAAAAAGGAGGGGGAAAGAGGAGGGGGAAAAAGGAGGAGGGAAAAGAGGAGGGGAGAAAAGGAGGAAAAAGGAGGAAAAAAGGAGGAAAAAAGGAGAAGGGAAAAGAGGAGGAAAAAAGAGGAAGGGAAAAAAGAGCAGGAAGAAGAGGAGGGAAAAAAGGAGGAGAAAAAGAGGAGGAAAAAAGGAGGAGGGAAAAGAGGAGGAGGAGGAAAAAAAGAGGGGAAAAGGAGGGAAAAAAGGAGAAAAAAAAGGAGGAGGGAAAAGGGAAAGGGGAAAAAAGGAGGAGGAGGAGGAAAAAAAGAGGGGAGAAAAAGAGAAGGAAAAAAAGGAGTGGAGAAAAAATAGCAGGGAAAAAATAGCGAGAAAAAAAGAGTGGGGAAAAAAAGGAGTGGAGAAAAAAAAGCAGGAAAAAAAGAGCAGGAAAAAAAGAGTGGGAAAAAAAGGAGCAGGAGGAGGCACTGCCCGAGCTGGGGGTGTCCCACCAGCCCCCTGGATCATCTGGGAATGCTTTTTCCAGAGCCAAGACCTTTTCCTTCCTTATTTTATATATATATAGATATAAAAATTAAAAAAAAAAAACAAAAAACATTTTAATAGAATTTTTTTGTTTTCATTTTTGGGCACCTGAGCTCCCTCCAGTGGCCCGGGAAGGGTTGGGATGAGGCACATCCCAACTTCCCTGATCCCTCAGGGAATTCCCACCACTCCTGGATCCATCTGGGGCAGAAAGGGCATAAAAAACCCAAAAAAACTGGATAAAAATCTCCAGGGTTTGGAAAAAGGGGGTGTTTTTTGGGAGTCACAGGGATAAAGGCACAAGGAAAGCAGAAATTCACCTTTTTTTTTACCCCTTTCTCGTGCTCTTGGAGCCTCTTTTTGTTTTAAAAAATCCTTTCAAATATTGAAGGGATTCCCACAAAAAAAATCCTGGATCCAAAGGGGCCTTTCCCTGGAAAGAGGTGGATTTTCCTGAGGGGACACAGGAAAAGCTGGAGAGTCAGGAATTGGTGGGGTTTATATTAAAAAAAAAAGGTTATTTTTGCCACAGAACTCCGGGCGCTTCCCTTCACCTGATCCCTTAAAAAAATCGGGAATCTGGGAACCCTCCAAAAACGAGGCTCCTGGAAGTGGAGGAAATTCCCAACCAAATGCAGGCCGGGTGAATCCGAGGGACAACTTGCTGGAGGGAAATTCCCAACCAAAATCAGGTGTCCGAGGGAATGACCCCGGAGAGAGGGGAACTGGGGCCAAGGAAAAATTTTTCCCAGCCTTTCCAGCTGCTGGAATCTTAATTAAATCTTAATTAAATCCATCCAGCCTGGATAAGTCAAGGAGGTTTTTTTTTTCCAGGGGGGGTTGCACAAACTCCCAAAGTCTAAAATGAGGAGGAAAAATCACATTTTGCCCTAAAATCCCACTTTTCCCGCTTCCAACATTTGGGATGGGCTTTTTTTGCCCCCCCAAATTCCTCCTTCAGGAGGAACCGCTGGGTGTGAGGTGAGAAATTTCCAACTCCTTTCCCTTCCCCCTCATCTCAAAAAATAAAATCCCAAGTTCCTCGGGGTGTTTTCCTCTTTAAAAGCTTTTCCAGCCTCCCTTTTTCCTCACAGGAAAAGAGGGATTTGCACTTTCCAGGGAGTCAAAGTCAAAACCTCCCCCTATCCCCAACTCGAGCCAAAAGTTCGGGGGATTTTCGGGCCGATGTGGGAAAATCAGGAAGCTTTTTGGCCCCCTCATCCCACCCAGAAGGAGCAACCCCCTCCCTTCCCAATCCCGGTGCGAAAGAGGGAAGGATTTTCCATGTTTTAGAAACCATAAAAGAAGTGGGAAAGGGTTTTTTTTTCCGTTAAAAAAAGAGCAAACCCAGACGGAGAAGGAGGAGGAGGAAGAGGAGGAATTTTCGCGCAGCTCCGGAGGCGACTCCGGAGGCTCCCGGAGGTACTTCCAAGGTTTCCCTGGTTGCAGCAGTGTGGGAATTCGGGAATGGGATGGCAGGGGTCAGTCCAGGAAGCGCTGGCAGGCCTTTTTCCAGCGGCAGGCCGTGCACCACTGGTCCCGGTGCTCGATGCCGTAAACCTTGCGGCACTTCTTGGCTTCGCCCCGGATTTTCCTGGGAAAACGGGGAGGGAGGGAAGGGACACGGGGGGGAAATTGGTTATGGATCCACAGGGAAATGGGTTATGGATCCACAGGGAAATGGGTTATGGATCCACAGGGAAGGGAGCTTGACTGGGTTATGTTCTGGGGGGAGAAGGAAAGGGGGAAAGGGGGAAGGGGGAAAGAGGGAAGGAGGGAGAAGAGAGGAAGGAGGGAAAAGGAGGGAAGGGAAGGAAAAGAAGAGGGAAGGGGGAAAGAGGGAAGGGAGGAAAGAAGGAAGGGAAAAGGAGGGAAGGGGGGAAAAGGAGGGAAAGGGAGGAAAAGGAGGGAAGGGAGGGAAAAAGGAGGGAAGGGGGAAAAGGAGGGAAGAGGGGAAAAGAAGGAAGGGGGAAAAGGAGGGAAAGGGGAAAAGAGGGAAGGGGAGAAAAGGAGGGAAGGGGGAAAAGGAGGGAAGAGAAGGAAAGGAGGAAGGGAAGGGGGGAAAAGAGGAAGAGGGAAAGGAGGGAAGGGAGGGACAAGGAGGAGGGAAGGAGGGAGAGGAAGGAGGAAAGGGAGGGAGAAAGGAGGGAAGGGGGAAAAGGAGGGAAGGGGGAAAAGGAGGGAAGGAGGAAAAGGAGGGAAGGGGAGGAAAAAGGAAGGGAAAGGGAGAGGAAAAGGAGGAAAAGGGGGGAAAAGGAGGGAAGGGGGAAAAGAAGGAAGGGGGGAAAGGAGGAAAGGGGGAAAGGAGGGAAGGGGGGAAAGGAGGAGGGGAAGGGGGAAAGGAAAGAGAAAAGGAGGAAAAGGAGAGAAGAGAGGGAAAAGGAAGGAAGGAGGAAGAGGAGGGAAAAGGAGGGAAGGGAGGAAAAGGGGGTAAGGGAGGAGAAAGGAGGAAAGGGGGGAAGAGGAAGGAAAAGGAGGGAAGGGGGAAAAGGAGGGAAGGGGGAGAAAAGAAGGAAGGAGGGAAAAGGAGGGAAGGGGGAAAAGGAGGGAAGGAGGAAAGGAAGGGAAGGGGGGAAAGGAGGAAGGGGGAAAAGGAGGGAAGGGGGGAAAGGAGGGAAGGGGAAAGAAGGGGAAAGGAGGGAAAGGGGAAAGGAGGGAAGAGGAAAAAGAGGGAAAGGGAAAAGGAGGAAAGGGAAAAGGGAGGAAAGGGAAAAAGGGAGAAAGGGAAAAGGGAAAGGGAAAAGGGGAAAGGGAAAAGGGAAAGGAAAAAGGGGGAAAGGGAAAGAAGGGGGAAGAGGGAAAGAAGGAGGAGAAGAGAAAGAGGGGGAGAAGAGAAAAGAGGGGGAGAGGAGAGAGAAGGGAGAGGGAAAGAGGGGAAGAGGGAAAGAGGGGGAGAGGGAAAGAGGGAGAGAGGGAAAGAGGGGGAGAGGGAAAGAGGGGGAGAAGGGAAAGAGGGGGAGAAGGGAAAAAGGGTCAAAGGGAAAGAAGGGGCAAGGGCAAAAGGGCTGTGGCTCCTGACCTGGTGCCCAGGGACACCCTGGGTGGGGAGGCGACGATCAGGTGGGATTTGAGCAGCGGCGTTTGGGGTTCGCTGAAGCTCAGCGAGCGACTCCGGACCTGGGGAGGGGAATGGGGAGGGGGGTAAAAAATCAAGGATCAAAAAGGACACCTCGTGCCCTTCACTCCCAACATCCAAGCCCCCATCCCGAAAGGAAAACGGCCCCGGCGCTCACCGGTGACAGGGACGGCAGGGTGGAGGTGGCGGCGGCCCAGCTGATGCTGGTGAAGATGTGGGGGGACACCGGGATTTGGATGGAGGGCAGCGCCTGTGGGGGGACAAGAGGGGGGGCAGCATTAATCCCATTCCCATTCCCATGGAAATTCCAATGGAAATTCCCCCCCCAATCCACGGATCCTGCTGAGGCGGAGCATGGAATGTTCGGAGCGTGGAATGTTCGGAGGGAGCGTGGAATGTTCGGCGTCACCCCCTGCAGGGTGACTTCCCAAATCCCAAATCCCAACACCCCCACCCCTCCAATCCTGCCTTGTTGGCATTTCTGGGGTTTTCCAGGGGTTTTCCCGAGGGTTTTCCCGCTTTGGGATGACGTCACAGGCGTTCCCTGTGGGATGGGGGGTGGACCCAGAGGTGGCTCCTGGAGTTCCACACTCCCAGCTCCCAAGATTCCCAGCTTTCCCAAGATTCCCAGCTTTCCCAAGATTCCCACCTTTCCCAAGATTCCCAGTTTTCCCCCCCCTGTGCCCCAGGATCCGGCAGGGCAGCATTCCAGCCTCGGGAAGGGTGTGTTGCATTCCAAAGGAAGGGAACAGAGGCCCCAGGAGGGGGGGAGGGTGGAGCTGCCAGCTGGGAACGGGGCACCCAAATCCCTGGAACGTCCCTAAAATCCCCAGACCTCTCCAGGGATAACAGGACATCCCTCTAGTCAGGAACAAGCACCCAAATCCCAAAAAAACAGGGGCTATGGAAGCAGAGGCTGGGCAGCTCCACCCAAGCCTGGAACAGGCATCCAAATCCCAAAAAACCAGGAGCTATGGATGCTGGGTTTGGGATGCAGGGAAACCTCTCCAAGGATAACAGAATGTTCTTCCTGCCAGGAACAAGAACCCAAATCCCAAAAATCCAGGGGCTATGGAAGCTGGCTGTCCAAAGGACTGAAGGGAAATCTCTCCAGGGATAACAGAACATCCCTCCAGCCAGGAACAAGCACCCAAATCCCAAAAAACCAGAGGCTATGGAAGCAGAGGCTGGGCAGCTCCACCCCAGCCTGGAACAGCCACCCAAATCCCAAAAATCCAGGGGCTATGGAAGCTGATTGTCCAGAGGCTGAAGGAAAATCTTTCCAGGGATAACAGAACATCCCTCCAGACAGGAACAGGCACCCAAATCCCAGAAATCCAGGGGCTATGGAAGCTGATTGTCCAGAGGCTGAAGGAAAATCTTTCCAGGGATAACAGAACATCCCTTCAGCCTGGAACAGGTACCTAAATCCCAAAAATCCAAGGGCTATGGAAGCTGGGTTTGGGATGCAGGGAAACCTCTCCAAGGATAACAGAATGTTCTTCCT